TCGTTTTCGTCATCCTCCCTCCAATCTTTGCTAAACAATAGTGATGAAGTAGAATGGATAAAAATGTGTATGTGTCTGTGCTGGTGATAAATGGAAAAATGAGCGAATGCGACATAATTGATTCGGAAAATGCATAATCACTTCATTAATATTACCATTCAAAACAACAATGTTTAAAGACAAGTAGCAATTAACAGAAAATAAACTACAAGATGCAAATGATAAAAGTGCCCAAGGACTGCCAATGTTGAGGACGTCTGCCTGTCTAGACCACTGGCTTTAGGAGATGACCCTTGGAATCTTCGAGCTTTAGACAGCCGAGAAGTTGACAGGGACGACCAAACCTCCCTCTAGAAATGATATGTACCCTTTGTCAATCAATTGTTGCACCTTGGCCTGGAAGGATTTGCATTCTTCAGTCGAGTGCCCATTGGATCCTCCATGATATCCACACTGAACATTGGGATTGTATCCAGGAGGGTAAGGTTCTGGCACAGGCTTAAGAGATTTGGGCTCAACCAAAGAATTCTGAATTAGATGCGGCAGAAGCTGACTCAGCGACATAGGGACTGGATGAAGAGGACCAGTCCTTCTTTCCAAGTTATTGCGAGGCCTTCTCTGATTTTGGCGCTGACAATTTTGTTGCTGAGAAATGTAACGTCGTTGGCACTGATTAGGGAATTCTTCACGTGCAGGCCCTTTCATCCTCATATTTGGCCCAGGAACGGGCAATAGCTGTGGGCATGGAGATTCAGAAACCAAAGATTGTAAGATACGCTCCTGACCTGATGCAGTTTCAGGGGAGAAAGCCGGGATATCCACTTCTTTTACAGCAACTGGAATAAGCCCACCTGACACTCTCATACCGCTTGGCGTGAACTCGAATGCTTTTAAATCGATTAAATCTTGAACTTTGTATTTAAAAGCTTCGCATTCTTCCATATTATGGCCCGATGCCCCATAATGGAAATCGCAATGGGCATTTGCATCATAGCCTTGTGGTGGCTTACCAACACGTGGAGCTATAGTCTGAAGTTCAACCAATCGAAATCGAAGCAAGAGTTGCAACAACTGAGTGTAAGTCATAGGGATCCGGTCAAAAATTCTTTCGGGGCGCTTTATCCTTTGCGCACACCTCTTATACTCAGGATTGTCCTGGGAAACAGGAGGTAGCCGTTGACGGGAAAATTTTGGAACCTCAGGTTGTGCAAAAGATCTACGAGACAGATCGCGCTCTAGGAGGTATTCCAGAGGTACGGGTTGAACAATCATCCCTGCTGCGACTTCAGGCCTAAGATTTTCATCCTTTCTTAGCACATTTTCCAAGACTTCCATTATCTATCCCATCTGAGTTTTCAGCTGGTGGACTTCTTCCTTGAGCATTTTCTGATCTTGACGCAAAGCTTGCATATCCACCACGAATTGTCCCATCTGGCTTCGGACTTCCTTCAATTCTGCTTGGATCTGCTCCGTAGGCCGGTTCTACTCCATAGCTACCTCGACTTGCATTGTCTGACTTGGCCTTTCAAGGTGTCTATGTTCCTCTTGCTTCAAATGCTTCACAACTCTCACAAGTTCAATGGGAGTATCGGGAGATCAACTGCGGGTTATGAACAAAGGATGGGTAAGCTGTTGGTATCTGGTCAGGGGAAATGCACAATGATGCAGAAATGCTTATGCAACTGCAATGCAATGAGTGCACACGAGAACATATCCACATCAAGGATCAAGGTCACAGATCCTGCAAGATGATAACAAAAGGTATCTCTCACCTCGGGTGGGAAATCTACTGGTTTATAAGAGGGTATCCCAAAGGCTTTAAAACAAAGTCCCATGCACTAACCCTCAAAAGTTTTCCATCAGAACGACTATTCGTAAGAAGGTAATCCTTTCAAAGGATGAACACAGAGTTATGTTTTAGGGACCTTCGGAATAAGGTTCTACAAAGGTCCTCAGAGTCACAGACTCCCACGTTGGAGATAAAAATGTCATTACGACTACACGTAAGACATAATCATCCCAACGGGGTCTCATCTGAGCGGTGGGATTCGATCCAACTCAACGAGTCCTAAGTCTCGCAAATCAGAAAGAAACCACCTCCTAATCTTAGTGTGTACTATAAAGCTCGGGTAGAAAGCTTTTCCTCACAAACCAATCCCCATAAACCCAACAGGTTAGAAAGGAACACAACATAATAAATCATGAAAGCAAACAAATCATACACGTGACAAGCAAACTAGGTATGGCTTGCTAGGGGATCCCCAGCAGAGTCGCCAGCTGTTGCTACTCGAAAAATGCATCGTGCAACGACGGGGAGGCGAAAAGAAAGGACAGAAGAGTCGCCACCGAACTTTATTTATCCCATGAGGGGAAGGGAAAATATCGAGAAAACCTTAAGAAACGAACGGATAAGATGGTCTCGCAACCAAGAACAGGTTCGGAAGCCGGTTATGCGAAGGGAAGGTATTAGCACCCCTCGCATCCATCGTACTCGATGGGAACCTTTTGTTTGTCGATATGTGAATTTATTTGCTTAAATACTATGCTATAAAAACTGTTCCAAAGGGGGAGAGAAAAGGGTTAGAAACAGGAAAAATGAGAGGTTAGGAGGAAAGAGAGAACGAGGAAGAAAAGAGAAAGAACAGACTCGGTAGGACTTCGCAGTCCTATGCCTACGTATTCTCAATAGATGTGAGAAAGTCAGAGTCGACGTAGTTCGGGGAACTACAGATATAAGGGGGAATGTGCTCGGCAAGGATTGTGGCCCTTGTGCCTACGTATCTTTACTTGAAAAAGTAAAGAATCAGAGCAGCCGTAGTTCGGCCTACGGTTTGTTAATGTTTTTTATGGATGATGCTATCGTGCGCATTCTAGCAGTTTAGGTGTATTGCCGCTCGCATGCGAGGAGACTTATGCGTTACCTGTTTGCGGTAGAACGGACGTAACATATCCTTTTTGAAATGATTAGGTTTTCGTCATGCGAGGCAAGATGTCACATTTGATTTGTGAGGTTATTTTTTAGGGGCGAGATAAGTCCTCGGACAGTAACCCCTACGGGTAGTATCCAATTCTTTATCTCAAGGTTTTTGTTATAAAAATGGTGTGGCGAACGTAGCGTCTTCGTATTGAAAGACGAGTATCGAGACCACCCCCACTACAGTGAGCATCCCAACACTCGGAGAGGAAGAAGACTACACTTAATCCTCTCTCTTTAATTCAATGCGAAGAGAACTTCGTTCTCTTATTAAAGATGTTTTTGGTTTTGAATGGTAAGTGCTTTTGTGACAGAGAACCCTACGGTAAACGTCAAGCACTCGGGATAGGAGAAGGCCTACGCCTAACCACTCCACGACCATTCAAGTATTTGTTATGAAAAGAGATTTGAAAATGCACTCGGTACATAATCGAGGTTTTAGGTGGGAAAGGTTTCAGAAAGGATTTGTGAAAGAAGGGGTGGTGAAAGAAGTCGCATCTTCGTATTGAAAGACGAGTATCGAAACCACCCACACTACAGTGAATATCCCAATACTCGGAGAGGAAGAAGTCTACACTTAATCCTTTCTCTTTAGTCCAATACAAAGAGAAGTTGATTCTTTATTGAAAGAGATTTTGAAAATGCGCTCGGCGCGGGGCCGAGGTATTTTAGGAGGGAAAGGAATGGATAATACGAACGCGTCTTCGTATTGAAAGACGAGTATCGAAACCACCCACACTACAGTGAGTATCTCAACACTCGGAATGGGATAAGTCTACACTTAAACCTCTCTTTTAATTCAATACAAAGGGAAGTTGACTCCTTGTTGATGAGATGTTGAAAACCTGCCAAGACGATGAAAAACAGAGACAGGATACAAACAATATACAGTGATATATAATCAACAGTCCATCAATTTAAATTTTACGGTTTCAATATTGATTAGGTGTTTTTTAAAAGAATGTACAAGTGTTTAATATAAATAAAATATAACAAACCTACATAATAAAACATAAGATGATTTAAGAAAAGCAGGAGGGGGTTAGAAGAATCATAGGAGGGTGGTGAGATCCACCAAACAGTCTGACGGGCTCTAAGCCCAAAAATGATTAAAAAACCTAGTTAATATTCTAATAAAAAATAATATAAAAAAATTAAAACAAAACAAAATTGAGGAACACAATTACTCTCTCTTCAAGAAACAAGGAGTCAAACCAGATATTGAGAAAGAAAAGAAAAGCGCATTGAAAAACCTGATACATCGAGAATAGAGGGGCTGAGTTAGAACGGAAGTTAGGTGAAGGTGGAGAATTCATCCGAAGCCATTATCTATTTCTCTTGATAGCAACTATACAAATATCCATCGGTCCTCCTCTCTCCCGTGCGGTGTGAACGTCACGGCTCCGCCGTCAATCCCTTTTTCTTAACTCTCTAGCTCTCTGCAAAATCGTGCTCTTCCAGATCCACTTCCTTTCAGTCTTGCAGCGGTGCCGAGATATGAAGGCTTTATTCAAAGGAGTTGCACAGGTCGTGCAAAGTCCCATATTCTTCCGCTCTTTAGAGAATATTCTCAGGCTTCAAAGATGAAGTCACATTGTAAATTCAAGAAAATCAAATCCCCTCGAGGAGGATGGATCAATGGCGCAGTCAATCACAAAAATAGTTTTAGGTTTGAATGGGAAGTGGAAGTTGTTGTTGTGGCTCAGTTCGATTGACGATAATGTCGTATTTTCAATGCTCCGTAATCTCGCCTACCATCTGTTTGATAAAAGTACTAAACCAAAATGTTTCTTCTCCTTCTATTCCATAATGTTATTGACATTGTTGAGTGGCAATGGTGGATTCTGTTGGCTAATGATGATTTGAGTTTATGGTTATGAATTTGAAGACGGCTAGTATATGTATCAAGAGTGAGGAAGAGATTTTTAAAGGTCTTTGTTTACGGTTGAGGTTGATGGATGAGAGTAAGAGGATGTTGGTTTGAAGATTTTGGGTAGGTAGAGCATGTCGTTGAGTTGCTGCGGGTTTATGTCGTTTGGATTGCTGGTGTAGTTTCGAGGTAAGGAGCACTAAGCAGCTTAACTTGTTTATGAAGGAACCTTATGTATTCCATAGCCTCCTTTAGAACAGATGACGTATCTGTCTTTCCATAAGGTGAAACAAGTTGTTGAAGAGCAACAATTCGTTCGCCAATCTTTTCCTTTCTATCCTTAGTGGTGATCGATAAATCAGGCTTTTGCTTTTTAGATGCAATTGAATTATAATTGCTTTCATCAACAGAGCAAATGCTCCTTTTATGTTCCATCATCTTTCTAACATCTATCCCCTCTTCACTTAAAAACATAGAATCAGCATTGCAGAAGGAGCTAGCTATCATCTAAAACTTTGAAGCAAAAACCCTTTGTGGGTATGTTCCAAAAGCTTGAAAGTTTGTAACTTTATGCAGTGTCTGTGTTCACAATTTCATTCCCAACACTTTTGCATGAAAAATAAAATAAGAAAAACTTGATCAAAGTCAGAGACACCACTACTAGCTCAAAGATTGATAGAGAAAGTGATGAACTGGTTATTGAAGGGAAAAGCAGTGGAAGCTCTCATCAATGGAGGAAAAGGAAAAAGAAACAGAGTTGTTAGAAGAAGAAGAAGAAGAAGAAGAAGAAGAAGAAGAAGAAAGAAGTTTGTGCTCACATGAAGAAAAGAGGATGGTATTATGAAGAAGGTGATAGAGAAAGTGTATGTGTTATGGAAGAAGAAAATGGTGAGTGTTTAGCTTGTGGTTAGTGAAAGAAAAGTTGCAGCTTGTTTACTATATAGCGAGAGATATTTGACTATGGATTCAAGTATGAAGGTCATGGTACGTGTGGCTGTTTTTACAAAGTAATGATGAGGTAGCTGTGGAACAGAGGAAATGTTAGGGGTGATAAAGGTGTGGAACGAAGGTGCAATGTGGATTTCGAGTTATGATGCAGTTGTCGTGTTACTGCATATGTTGTTATGAAGATGAGGGAGCAGAAGTGATTTTTCGCGTATAAATCTCATGCTGCTGCAACAGGAATTGATCGGAATAACGAATGGAGCTGGTTGCTGTTAGCAGCATTGTTACAGTTGCAGTGTCGACATCCAAACATGTTGTCGCATCCTGGAACCATTGTTGATGTTTGTCGTGAGTTTTGTATTTGAAGGAGAGAAATTGGACTGTGAGTTTGCGGAAAGAGAATAGGAAAGGAAGTGTTGTTGAGTTTATGTTGGTTGGTTAATGGAGTTGTGAGGGAGCTTCAAAGTGCAAGACTAAGGTCGAAGATGTTTGGCGGTGTGAAATTTGTGTGGATGGAGGCTTGTTAACCTTGCTCATGAACAACCTTTTGAGTATAACAGCGTTGAAATTGCTGCCAATTCTCTGAACAAGGAAGTGGTAACGCTTGACTAAGGGCTTGAGGTAGATATCAGTGGGCTTTGGTGAGGTTCTCTTGGACTTCTTGTTCTTACCTCCTGCTTTCAGATCGATACCCATGGCTGCTTCGGGTTTTCAACGCCTGCGCAACTGTTACACCTTGCTGCCATAGTGTTGCTGCTACCGAGAGAGTTCAAGAGCTGCTGAGATTGTCTTCGACACTGCCATGGTTTGGTTTTGAGTTTGATTTCAGAAATTCTCCCTCTGTTCTTGCTCTGTCTCATATATGTAGGTGATAAACTCAGAATTGAGACTGATGATTTGTGATATCATTTTGAAGGTGTATCAAGGAGGAGTTTTAAGGTTGGAGTAGTTTGGTGATATTAGCATGAAGTTTGTGTGATAATATTGGATGAAGATAATAGGTTTATGTTTTTTTTCTTGGAGTCAGTTGTTAGATGATAGGAACAAAAAGAATAGTTCCCCTGAAAGATCAGGATGGAGAGAGGAAAAATATCAGAAAGAAGAGGTTTTTTGCGTGAATCCCCAGGTGAGAGAGTTTTTTTCCAATGATCAATGTTGAAGAGTTCTTCTCTCTTTTTCTTTCTCTTTTTTTTTTTAGAAAAAATGATCCCTCCCTCTTTGTAATTTTTTCTCTGTCTTTATCCTGGCTGTGTTTTGCAGGACTGTTTTGTCACGAATTGGGTAAAACGTGGGGGATTGTTGGTAGCAGAATGGTTATAGCTAGTGGTGTTGCAAGGTACGGTTTGTGCAGGGCATTTTGTGGTCCACAAGTTGGTGACTTGTAGCGACAGCCTGCTTCGTACGGTTTGGTTTGTGCTTTGAAAGGAGAGTAGTGGGGCCATACTGCTACATCAAAGGTTTTGGCATGATTTTCTCTGTGTTGGTTGTAGCAGCACAAATTTGTTTCCTGTATTTTGTCGTTTTTCAGTAGCTGTAGAAAATTGTTGGTTCATTTATGGGATTCAAAATTTGTCTCCTTCTGCAGGTTCATGAGTGATGGTCTTGTTTGATGGTGAGTGTAACCCGGTGGGAGAACTGACTTTAAACAATGTTGCGGATAGCAAGAGTCGCCACCGACTTTTATTTTATCCATAAGGAAAGGTTATAAAAGAACAGGAAAGACCTTAGAGAATATTTTGGGTCCGGGGGGTAGGTTATGAAAAGGGAAGGTATTAGCATCCTTTTCATCCATGGTTATCCATGGGCTCTTAGGTACTTAAGCTCACTTTTGAATTGTTTTGAAATTGTAGTGTGTGAATAGAAAATTTTCAGAATAGTTAATAAATAATCCATGTGAGGATGTGTTAAGAACTTGTTTGAAAACTTGTTGAAAATTTGTTTAAGTGCGAAACAGTTTTGAAGTGAGCAAGCACCTAGGAGTAACCTACCCTAATGTTTAAAGGTCTTTCTTATTCTTCATTCTTTCCTTTAGTAAGACTATCCCTACTATAATGGAGTAGGTAGTCCTTACTTTGGATGTTAAGGGACATGTGAGGGAAAATTTGACTTTGAAGGCCATTGTGGGATGTAATAAGCACGTATAAGGGACCATCATCATTTTTCGAAAGGGACTCGATTCGTAAAGGCAACCATAAGGGACTTTGATGATTTTTCTATTTGAGGGACTTGCTTTATACACCCCACTTAACCATTATTCGTAGGCAACTTGAGGGATATCCTTAGGAAGTGAGACGGCGATTAAAATCGACTTACGTGTGTGACGTGTTTATTTTAATTATCTTTATTTAAAAGTGATCTAAATTTATTTTAATATTACATACATGTTGTTACACTCCCTAATTACTAACCATAATAATAATTAAATAATTAAACAACTTTACATCCAAGAAACAATTACAAAATAATAAGCAAAATAATTAAATAGCAAAGATAAATAAAATATAAATAAGCAATAATAAATAATAAAGGGGGTTAGTAAGCGATATTTAACAAAATAATAAGCATGATTAGAATATAAATGGGTTAGTAAATAGGAATAAACAAAATTAACCCAAATATTATAATAATAAGAAATTAACAATTTTTTAATATAATCAACTAAAAAATAAATATGAATAAACAATTGTTTTAATTTTAATATTTTAAAATGTTTTTTTTAATTTTAATATTTTTAAAAAAATGTTTTTTTTATTTTAATATTATAAGAAAATGTTTTTAATTTTTATATTTACAAAAGTTTTATGTTTTATATTAAAAAAAGTTTTAATTTTTATTTTTTTTAAAAAAGAGTTTTCGTTTAATTTTATTATAGAAAGATTTATATTTAAAAATAATGTTTACACAAAAAAAGGTTTTTTTTTTTTAAAACAAATATAAGAAAATATAAAACAAAATAAAAACATAAATTAAAAAAACAAAATAATAAAATAATAATACTTAAGGGGTTGGGCCGGTAACCACACCCGGACCCAACCCAATTATGAGTCATAAGAAAAAAAATTTTAGGGTTTCCAACCCAGACTCATTCTCGCGGCGCCGCTTCACTTCGTTCTTCCTCCCGCTTCTCTCATTCTCATCCGCGATGCCAAGCATCTTCTTCTCCGTTCTCTTTCGATTTTCCTGAAAAAACACATGAAAATGGTAATGAAAAGCATCCCTGGCTCACCTTTAAAGTGAACCGGCCGATGATGGATGCGAGCTGAGGCCTGAGGGTTGATTGTCCGCCGTTTAGACGGCGAAGACGGTCTTCCCCTTTCGGTGGCGCGGTTGTTGATGTTGGTTCGTCAGTGAAGGGAGGCGATGATGAGGGTACCGGTCTCTCTGAGTCTCGGCCGTTAGGGTTTCGTTCGTTAGGGTTTTCGCGACTTCGTTAGGGTTTCTCCCCTCCTCTTTCACAGGTGGTATCTTCCTTTTATAACTAACTTCTGGGCCTTTAATCCGTGTGGATTTGTGCTATTTATCACTTTCATGCGATTTGATTTTACTGGGATTTGATTTTGTTTGATTTTGATTTGATTTGATTACGATTGGATGCTATTTGACACTGATTGAACTTTGTTTCCCTTTTTAGGGTTTGATTGGTCTTTTCTGATCTCCAGCTGATATGATTCTTCTGATTTGGTTCAGAGCTTTCTATCTTCAGAACTCTGTGATTGAATATAATTTGAACTGATTTGTTTTGATCTGTTTTGAAACTTTCCATATCTGATCGGCCTTGATTGAACTTCATCTTTTGGATTTCAACTGGATATCGTTTTTTGTTTATCTGATGTGGTTTGTTTGGATTTATGCTTTGCAGATGCTTCTGATACAGGCAACTCTGTCATGTATTTGAATATCTGGTTCCATCTGATGCAATGTTCTTTGACCTCTGGTCTTCATTTTGGACACTGATGCGAACTAGATTATTTGATGATGATGACCTGCTTCCATTCAGTTTGGTTATCAGTTGGAATACTTACTTTTCTTCTTCTTCTTTCAGGGTAGGTACTCCGGCTTCGGTTGCGTCAAACGCTGCCGAGGAAGGTATACGGCAATGATGACATCGTTCTGAGCCTTCGAGGGATGTTCTTCGATGGTGTCGCAGTTGCCTTCTGCTGTGTTCTATGGAATTTCATTCAGAACATGAGCTGGGCTGCTACTTTGAATCCTGATATGGTTTCGTGACTTGTTTTATTTCTGAACTGATATGCTTGTGACAACCTAACCTGTTTCAACTCTTAATCCTCAGGTCCGCGGCTCGCACCCAACTGTGACGTTTGAACTTTCTGTTTTAGGGCAACGATGCCCTGACTGAGCCCTTCAGAGAAGATGCTATGATCTTGTTTGTTGCTCGTGTTGTGAGCAGAATGGCACGTTGGTTTGTCATGGTGACTTACCATCGCTACTTGCTTTTTCTGGTATGATATGATTTGGCTGTTTGCATTCTGCTGCTACACCATATTCAATTTCGTTTTTCTGATACTTTGTTGAGGCCATTCAATGCAGTTTGGTTTATATTT